CCTGTGTACACTGTCAGCCAGGTATGGCCTCGCCCTTACTAGGTCCTATTGCTCAGAGCACAGCTCCCAATTTCCTTATCACCTCATTGAGATAGACCCTGGAAAGGTAGAAACAAACAAATCCCTGACTCCTACCATCTGGTTACTTTATTTACATGATCAGCCTTCGTTCAGCTGACTTGCTGACAGTTAGTCAGCAAGGGGGGTCCTCAAGGGAACAGTTTCTAATCCTTTCAGTTTCTGAATTTACAGGAATAACAGAGGCAAGGGACTGGCCCTCCCACATTCAGGTGTTCTCTAACCCAGGGGTCCCCAATCCCTGAGCCACAGACCCATATCTGTCTGTGGCTTGTGAGAAACTGGGCTACACAGCAGGAGGTGAGTGGAGGGTGAGCCGGCATTACTGCCTGAGCTCCGCATCCGGTCAGATCAGTGGCTGCATCCGATTCTCATAGGAGCACAAACCCTACTGTGAACTGCACATGCAAGGGATCTAGGTTGCAAGCTACTTAAGAGAATCTAATGCCTGATGATCTGAGGTGGTTTCATCCTGAAACCATCCCCCGCCACCCCTGATCCCAATCCCTTCAACCTGTATAAAAATTTTCTTCCATGAAACCAATCCCTGGTGCCAAAAATGTCAGGGACCACTACTGTAGCCTACCCAAACAACATTTTATATTGATGCCTTCCCTCGAACCCAGCTGTCCACTACCACTACTCTTCTGCCTCCGTGAGGCACCTGTGCAGACGTTCTCCATCCCAGGAGGCAGAGCCCAAGCAGCTGACAGGCTCTTTGCACAATCCTGTAAACTATTGTCAGATTTCACCTGTTTCGTGGACTAGGCGCAGTTTATCAGACTATCTATTCCAAGTGTCTAATATAAAAACCACAGTGAAATACACCCTCAATACCACAGCACCAAGCTGACTAAGCATGACTAGCTCTTTCCAGTTCTTTCTTAAATGCTCACTTGCAACTTATTCATTTGTTTTACATTGTATGAGCGCTCCCAAGCAGTCAGGTGATAGCAACACAATATGTAAGACTAAGTCATGCTTAAGATGACCAGGTGCAGTGTCTCACTCCTGTAGTCCCAGCTGAGGTGGGAGAACTGTGTGAGGCCAGGAGTTTGAGGCTGCACTGAGCTATGATCATCCCCCTGTACTCCAGCCTGGGTGACAGCATGAGACTCTGACTCTTAAAAAAAAAAAAAAAGTTTTTAATTAAAATTCTATCCAATTCAGGATGCATTGTGCCCACCCTGTAGCAGGCTCTTGGAGATACAAGTATATAGCAGTTAAGGAGCTCACAGATTAATAATAGCTGTTACCAATAAAAAAAAATACATTGTGTTTATTTAAAAAGACATTCATGTGCCTATACCCATCTGATGCTTTCAATAACCCAGTAAAATAAAGATTACTATCCCCCATATAAAAATGAGGAAAGTACTCAGGCGCAGTGGTTCACACCTGTAATTCCAGCATTTTGGGAGGCTGAGGTAGGCAGATCACCTGAGGTCGGGAGTTTGAGACCAGCCTGGCCAACATGGCATAACCCCATTCTACTAAAAAATACAAAAATTAACATGGTGGCATGGTGGCATGCACCAGTAATTGCAGCTATTCAGAAGGCTGAGGCAGGAGAATAGCTTGAACTGGGGAGATGGAAGTTGCAGTGAGCTGAGATTGCGCCACTGCACTCCAGCCTTAGCTACTGAGCAAAACTCTGTCTCAAAAATAAATAAATTAAAATGAGGAAAGTGAAGCTTAGGAAAGAGAGGTAACCTGGCTCCCTGCAAAGACCACATAGCTAGGGACTACAAAGGCAATAGCTAAGCCTGAACCCAGGTCTCCTGACCCCTAAAACTTATTCTTTTTTTTTTTTTTTGAGACAGAATTTCACTCTTGTTGCCTAGGCTGGAGTGCAATGGTGTGATCTTGACTCACTGCAACCTCTGCCTCCCAGGCTCAAGTGATTCTCCTGCCTCAGCCTCCCAAGTAGCTGGGATTATAGGCATACGCCATCACACCTGGCTAATTTTGTATTTTTAGTAGAGACAGGGTTTCTCCATGCAGGTCAGGCTGGTCTTGAACTCCTGACCTCAGGTGATCCGCCTGCCTCAGCCTCCCAGAGTGCTGGGATTACAGGCATAAGCCACTGTGCCCAGCAAAACTTAACATTCTTTTCAATGATACCTTGTGATACCTCTTCAGCTGTGCAGGAGAGTAAAGTGAGGCAGCAGATAAATTAGCCTCCCTGGTTTGTGAGCCACTAGAGGACAGAGACAACGTCTGTACCCGCCTTTTTTCCTCAGGGCTTGGCACAGAGGACACACTCAGAGTCTTTCTGTTGACAAGTGCTTGACTGCAGCAGGAGCTGAGCTCTGGGAAAGATCAGTGGGAGCCAGAGTGGCTGGGGAAGCCTTTTTGTCAGAGGTGGCACTTGGCCTAAGTGTCGTAGGATGGTGGGGTTGGGGTGTGGTAGGGAGGAACAGCAGGGGCAAAGACTTAGGCCGGACAGTGCCAGATCTGCCTCCCTGGGGACAGCCTTTCTGCTCTTTGTTTCTACAGGCCCAGGGCTCAAGCCCAGTGACACTAGACCTCATCATTCCCTTCCTGAGGCCAGGGCGCTGTGTCCTGGTAAGAAAACCTACCCTCACTCTACATACAGAGCCCTGGCTTCTACTCCCCTGGTGGCACCCACCCATGGAAAATCCATTCTGCAAAAATGTTTGGTTTGACCGCCACAGTGTTTAAAATCAAAATTGCTTACCACTATTTACCCTGACTATTACTAATATTACCACTATTACGCATATATAAAAAAAGCTGGATTTCTGGCTTCTGTTGAAAAATCCAAAAGCCTGGTGCTGTGTGTCCACATTCTGGCACGGTGACAATGCCTGGAGCTCAGTGCCATCTGATTATTTCAGTCAGGGCCTGTGCTCTTCAGGTCCTCACAGCAGCCTTAGTCAACTTTGAGTTTACTTTTCGAGTTTGGCCCCTGTTACACTTGAGTTTGCCACCCTTGACCTGTTCTGTGCCAGGCCAGGAGCTGGAGCAGACACAAACCTACCCCAGAAGAATTCCCTAGCCAGTGCAACTCCCCTCTCCCCCAGCTCCATGCTTCACTCAGCTCCTCTGGGAGGAGAAGTTGCCTGACTCACAGGGGTGTGGGGCTCTGTGCCCTTAGGTGTGGCGATCAGATGTACAGTTTGCTTGGAAGCACCTCTTGTGTCCGGATGGTAAGTTCTTGGGGAGAGGGAGATAAGAGGGAGGTTGGGCACTGAGGAACTGGGTGGGCCTCACCCTACTTGACTCAGTCTCTAACAGACACCTGGGGCTCTTGATCCTGGCACTGCTGGCGCTCCTCGCCCTACTGGGTGTTGTTCTGGCCCTCACCTGCCGGCGCCCACAGTCAGGTAAGCTCACCGAAGTCAGACCTGCCGAGCTCCGAGGCTAGCTGTTCCCTCACCCTCCCCTGTCTGAGCTTTCTGCACTGCACCCAGTCTCTGTTACCCAAGCAGGGAGCCTCTGGTACCCAAGTGGGCAGGAATGGTTAAGGTAGGGCAAAGGGCCCAGTGAGCCTATTGTCACTGTACAGAGTCTTTGGACAAAAGGCTAGTGGGGCAGAAATCCAGCCTGTGCTGTACTTATCCAGCCTGGAGCCCTGGCCCTCTCTTGGGAAGGGACGTTTTTATCTAATTAGCCCAGGGGTACCCTATAGTCTAGGGCTGCTTTGTGTACCAACCCCCAGAACAAATAAGGGGTGAAGGCGAGAGGCGAGTACCCTACGGTAGCCTGAGAGACTGGGGAGGAGAGGGCTGAGCTGTCCCTCAGCTCACACCCCTTCATCTGTTGCTCCCCGCCACCAGGCCAGGGCCCAACACGGCCAGTGCTGCTCCTGCACGCGGCGGACTCTGAGGCTCAGCGGCGCCTGGTGGGAGCGCTGGCTGAACTGCTGCGGGCAGCGCTGGGCGGCAGGCGCAACGTGATCGTGGACCTGTGGGAGGGGAGGCACGTGGCGCGCGTGGGCTCGCTGCCGTGGCTCTGGGCGGCGCGGGAGCGCGTGGCGCGGGAGCAGGGCACGGTGCTACTGCTGTGGAGCAGCGCCGCCCTCCGCCCCGCCAGCTACCCCAACCCCGGCACCGCGCCCTTGCTCGCCCTGCTCCACGCTGCCCCACGCCCGCTGCTGCTGCTCGCTTACTTCAGTCGCCTCTGCGCCAAGGGTGACATCCCCCAGCCGCTGCGCGCTCTGCCGCGCTACCGCCTGCTGCGCGACCTGCCGCGCCTTCTGCGGGCGCTGGACGCGCAGCCTTCCGCGGAATCCACCAGCTGGGGACTCCTCGGAGCGCGGCAGCGCTGGCGGAGCCGCCTAGAGCTGTGCAGCCAGCTCGAACGAGAGGTCGCCCAACTCGCAGACCTAGGTTGAGCAGAGCTCCACCGCAGTCCCGGGTGTCTACGGCCACAACGTAACGGGAACCCCTGAATGAACCTTCGACCCTGGAATCCTTGGGTACCCCAGGGACGACTGGCCTTAAAGCCTTATTCCCTGCCTCCCAGGCCGGAAGTCCCAGCCCAGTCCCCGCGCATGTCCCTCTTCCTCCTCATACTTTCCCTTGACAGAAAGCTCCTTTAATCCCTGTTCTGATAGGGGAGGGCAGGCTTCCCACTTCCTCTCCAGAACTCCAGAAAGAGCAGTGTGCTTATGCTCCAGTCCAGGCTGGAGAGGTTGGCCCCGGGGTAGGGGAGGCAGGAGCCATGTCAGTTCTGAAGGCGGGCGGGGGGGCGGCGCGGGGCAGGTGAGAAAAAACCTCCTTGGGGGCCAGAGAATCCTTTTCCCACACTGAGGCTCTGCCCAGAGGGAGCAAGGACTCCGGACCTAGGAAAAGAGGCTTTTGGCTCTGGGTGGTCAAGACAATGGGAACTGGTGATGGGGTGGGTGGGTGCTGGTGGGGGACTAAGATCCGAAAAGATGAATAAAGATTAACATGACAAACTGGAAAACACAATGTGCCTCTCTATTGGGGCTGGGATCCACAAGAGCCTGCCTGGGGGTATGTGTCAGTTTGTGGGTGCAAATCCTCAGTATCCACACTGCATGGCATTTATCACATTCTTTCAAGCAATGCCTCCAAAAGCAAAGGAGAATGGGGCAATCTCCTTGATCCCTCCAGTGATTCTTCCAAAAGGAGAGAGGAAAACAGAGGCTTTGCCAGGTGGTATGTCCATTGTCACACAACTGGCCCACAATAACAGCACAGATGGGACCCCTGTGTGCCAGGCCCTGGGTCCTGGCTTCCTTCTAGCCCCCATACCACATTTGAGCCTAGGCCAGGCAGTGGTGAAAAGCCCACTTTCTGGTGCCCTTTTGGCTGTGCTTTTAGAGCTCCTGTCCCACAAAGGGTCACTGAGGCCCAAGGAGTGTGTGAGGGGACCGAGGATGCCTAGTAAGGGGATATCTAGTGGGCCCAGGACCCCAGGACTGTGTCCTCCTTAGGGCTCCTGGGGTGAGTAAGAGCTCCCTTACTCAGCCATGATGCATTCACTGCCTTCTTCAGGGGCCCCTCCCAGCCAGGTGTCAGCAGAGGGGGAGGAGAGCCAAAAAAGGAGGAGGTGCGGGCACCACCCTAGTCCAAGGCTGCTGGCTCCCATGCTTGGTGTTGGTGGGAGGGACAGAGAGGGGCGGGAACAGCCGGTTGCCTGCCGGGAGCCAAAACGAAAGCACTCCAGGCTGGAAGTAGGACGAGAGTCGACTCCCAGGAGAGGGAGTGCACAAACTCTCCAGTTCGGCCCCCACTGCCTCCTTTGGAGGCTGGGGAAGGATTCCAGCCCCTGCCACACACAGACACGGGCTGACTGGGGTCAGGGGTCAGGTGTCTGCCCCCCTTAGGGGGGCAGCACAGGACCTCAGGCCCGTGTGCCGCCTGGAACCTGGAAGATGCCTGTACCCTGGTTTTTGCTGTCCTTGGCACTGGGCCGAAGCCCCATGGTCCTTCCTCTGGAGAGGCTTGTGGGGCCTCAGGACGCTACTCACTGCTCACCGGTGAGTCTGGAACCCTAAGGAGATGGGGGAAGGCCCAGAATTAAGTTTTTGGCTCAGCAAAGTCCTAGCCTGGCTCCTGTCACTGCTGCCACTGCCAGAACTGCCCTGTCTGGTCTGTCTGGTGCTGATGGGAGAAGAGAAGAATGGGGAAGGGGCAAGACCTGGGTCTGTCTTCTTCTGGGAGGGTCTGGGAAAACAGAATTCCAGAAAAAGTGGAGGTCTCAGGCAGAGAACAGTGCCTAGATGTGGGGGCACAAACTCTGACTCTCCTTTCCTCCTTCCCAGGGCCTCTCCTGCCACCTCTGGGGTAAGTATCCCTACTTTTAAAAAGATTTTCCAAGGCTGGCTGAAAGGAGTAGAGCTGTCTCAGGCCCATGGCAACAGCCCAGGAGAGCCAAGTTCCTTGGCTCTCCTGGTTATGTCAGGTGCCACCAAGTTTCTGGGCTCGGAACAGCTTCAGCTGAGTTGTCCCAGGCCCACCTCAGCCCAGGAGAGCCAAGTTCCTTGGCTTTCTGGGTATGTTAGGTGCCACCAAATTCTGGGCTCAGAACAGCTTCAGCTCCCATCCACCCCTCCACATACAGACGATGACATACTCTGCCTGCCTGGGGACATCGTGCCTGCTCTGGGCCCCGTGCTGGTGCCTACACACCTGCAGACAGAGCTGGTGCTGAGGTGCGGCAAGGAGACCGACTGTGACCTCTGTGTGCGTGTCGCTGTCCACTTGGCTGTGCATGGTGAGCAAGTCATCCTGTGACAGTGCACGTGCACATGTGAGCATGTCTGGGGTGGGCATGAGGGCCAGGGGATCTCTTGGGCAGTGCTGGGCATCCTCCTGGAGGACACTGGGAGAAGGATCCCCAGGCCAAAGTGGTCTCCCCAGCCCCTGCTTCCCAGCACTGGGCTTTCTAGAAGGAAGCCAGTGCCAAAGCCAGTCCAGAGCAGGGGGTCTCACCTGGGGTTTTGCTCTTGCATCCTTCTAGGTCACTGGGAAGAGCATGAAGATGAGAAAAAGTTTGGAGGAGCAGCTGACCCAGGGCTTGAGAAGCCTAGGAATGGTGAGGAGAACTTGGCTGGCCCAACTGCTCCGTGCCAAGGCCTGGCCTGCTGCTCCTAGGCCTGACTGATCCCTGCCCTGTTGCCCACAGCCTCTCTCCAGGCCCAAGTCGTGCTCTCCTTCCAGGCCTACCCTACTGCCCGCTGCGTCCTGCTGGAGGTGCAAGTGCCTGCTGCCCTTGTGCAGTTTGGTCAGTCTGTGGTATGCAAACTAATAATAACCACCTTCTAAACCTAAAATCTGTAAAACACTTTCACATGCATTATCTCTTTGAGGATTACAAAAGAATTAAATTTATTGAACCCCCTCAGTACCAGGCCTTACAGCCAGTATTTTATAGGTATCAACTTATTTAGTTATCTTTTTCAAAACAGCCATGTGAGGTAGGACTATTCTTTTGATTCTGATCAGTGCTGTGGGCAAGCCCCTTCAGCCTGATATGCCTCAATTTTTATGTCTGTAAAATGGGGATAAGAATAGTCCTACTTCATATGCTTGACTGTGAGAAAACACCAAGCAGTTTTCCAGGGTACTGCTACTATTTCACCCTCTCCCCAGCAGTGGATGGGAGTTGCAGTTTCTTCCCATCTTTGCCAACACTCAGTGATGCAATTTTATTTTATTTTTAAATTAAATATATTTGAATTATATATGTATGGGACCCTTCATGAATTTGCATGTCATCCTCAGGCAGGGGCTGTGCTAATCTTTTCTGTATTGTTCCAGTTGTAGTATATGTGGTGCCAAAACAAGCATAGGTGTTATAATTGTAATAATTTTACTGCATATGTGCTGTTTTATCATTGTGGTTTTAATTTGTACCTCCCAATGACTGATGAAGTTGAGCACTTTTTTCATATGCTTATTGGCTGTTAGTGTAACTTCCTTGTGAAATATCTCTTAAATTTTTGGGGAGGGCCACATTAAAAAAATAGTCCCACCTCACATGGGTGTTGTGAGAATTAAATAAGTTGAGGCCTGTAAAACACCGGCTGTAATGCCTGGCACTGAAGGGTTTCAATAAATGTAATTACTTTGTAATCCTCAAAACTACTTGAACTAGGCATTATTATGATCCTCATTTCCCAGATAGAGAAAGTGAAGTTTGGAGAGAGGAGGTCTGTGGGCTGGATGCACTTCCCTGTACTCTTGGACCAAAAGAACAGTCCTGCCATATATACCATGGTGTACATACCATGGTGCAAGTACCATGATGCAGGGTGTTGGGGCTTCTCCCTGCCTCAGGAGGCTACATGTACTTGGAAGATCTATTTCCAATGGGGTCAAATCATTCAAACCGTTTGGCGTCCCCTCCAACCTCCAGCTCCCAGCTGATATCTTTTTATCTAGAGAATTGTAGACTGGGAGAACATCTGCTTGGCCCATGTCACAAGCAGTTGTGAGGACCACTGAGGCACTGGGTCAAGTGTGAGAACCACTTCTGTGGGGAGGGGTGTGCCACGTTGCATTGGGGTGTCTCCTCTCCTTGGCTTTGGCCAGGTGATTAGCACAGCAGGGTTGGGGCAGGGATTTAAATGGCTAGGACCTTTTCCCACCCTGGCAACCCTCTTACTGAGGACATGTGCTTTGGAATTGAGGCCCCTTGAAGGAAAGGTGAATGGTAGATTCCAGCCTATACAGTATAAATACAGTCATTGGTTGGGAAAGAAGGACAGTGAGCAGAGTGGTCCCTGCAGATGATCCACAGCCCTTGGCCTGGATTCTGAGCCCTGCACCACCAGCCTTCCCCACCGTCTCCTCACAGGGCTCTGTAGTATATGACTGCTTCGAGGCTGCCCTAGGGAGTGAGGTGCAAATCTGGTCCTATACTCAGCCCAGGTACGAGAAGAAACTCAACCTCACACAGCAGCTGCCTGGTAAGTGGACCCCAAGTCCTGGCCCCCTAGCCTCTGTCCCCTCTGGCTACTCCCTTGCTGCTTTCACCCTCTTCTAGCTCCATCCACACTCAGGCAGGGGTCTGAACTCATATCCTTGCCAGAGTCAGTCCCTCAGGCTTTCTCTCCCTGGGTGATGTGGCTTTCCAGCCCCTAGGGAAGGCGTTCTGAGCATCAGACAGATGTGGGTGGTATCTAGGGGATGGGGAGCCCTTCCTAATTCCCCTCTGGAAGCCAGATTGCCCTTCGTCTTTCCTTGGCCCCCAGCCCCACCGGAGGCTCTTCTGTGATCTCTCCCCAGACTGCAGGGGGCTCGAAGTCCGGAACAGCATCCGGAGCTGCTGGGGTAGGGGATAGGGCAAGTGGGCTGGGAGGAGGGAGGGGCAGGGTCTGGAGTGTGAGAGAACCTTGGAGTCCATTTCAGATATGGGCTGCCACATCTCAGAAGCTCACAGAACACAATCATTCATTCATTGATATCACATTAATTGCAGTAGCTGCTACTCTGTGCTAAGCACTGGAAATAGATGAATCTTGGGTCAGGCTCAGTGGCTTCTATCTGTAATCCCAACACTTTGGGAGGCTGAGGTGGGAGGATCGTTGAGCTCAAAAGTTCAAGACCAGCCTGGGCAACGTGGCAAAACCCCATCTCTACCAAAAATACAAAAATTAATTGGGCAGTGGTAGTGTGCATCTGTGGTCCCAGCTACTCGGGAGGCTGAGGCAGGAGAATTGCTTGAGCCTGGGAGATAGAGGCTGCAATGAGCTGAGATTGCTACACTGCGCTCCAGCCTGGGTGACAGAGCAAAACTCTGTCACAAAAAAAACAAAAGCAAAAACAAACAAAACAAATAAAAAACTTGAAATAAAAGCTAAGAAATTTAGGGTCTGACCTTTTTCCCATGTGCTATTTGGATTTTGTTTGGGTTTTGCATTTTCTTTTTTATTGTGTATAACATAACATACATACATAAAAGTATGTAAAGTGTACTAATTTTCATGTCCAGTTCAATTCATTTTTATATATGTATATACTTGCATAACTTGCACCCAGATCAATATATAAATACTGTGGTGTTTTCTGAACTATTAAATTTTTTCCACTTCATTTTCTTTTTGGCTTCTTAAAATTAAACTTAGTCTGCCTTTTTGGCAACTCATTAGAGACTACTCAACACCAGAGTTTTAAAAATACAGATATATATCATACATTTCATTTCTTCCTTCATTCAGTAGACATTGATTCATTTATTCAACAGATATTTATTGTGTAATTTCTGTGTACCGGGCAAATCCCTGGACACTGGAAATATTAAGTAATCAATAAATCAAGATAACAAAAATCCCACCCTCATGGAGCTGGGTGTCAGGGTGAGGGTGGGGGTGAGGAAGGACACGACAAACACATGGAAATGTGAATAATGCAGTAAGTTAGACAGTGATTAGAGATAAGGAGAAAGTTTGCGGAAGGGGGAGAGGTAGGTTGGGAGTTGCAGAAGTCAAGGATGGCCTCATTCTGGTGAGCAGAGACCTTAAAGAGGTGCCATGTATCTGAGGGAAGAGGATTCCATGCAGAGAGAATAGCCAGTGCAAAGGGCCTGGGGTGGAAGTGTGTCAGGGGTATTTAAGAAATAGTAAGGTCCTTAATAACTCTGCAGCAAGTTAAGGACACAAATGCCATACGCTGTGCGTGGTGGCTCATGCCCGCAATCCCAGCACTTTGGGAGACTGAGGTAGGAGGATCGCTTGAGGTCAGGAGTTCAAGACCAGCCTGGCCAACATGGCAAAACCCCATCTCTAATAAAAATACAAAAGTTAGCTGGGCACACCTGTAATCCCAGCTACTCGGGTGGCTGAGGCAAGAGAATTGCTTGAACCTAGGTGGTGGAGGTTGCAGTGAGCTGAGATCATGTCATTGCACTCCAGCCTGGGCAACAGAGCCAGACACTCTCTCAAAAAAAAAAAAAAAAAAAAAGAAAAGAAAAGAAAAAGGACACAAGTGGCAAAAGGTGAGGTCAGAGAGGTCACAGTTCTGACCAGAAGAAAAGGACTTGTTTTAAAGAGGTTACAAGATCTTTCTGACTGCAGAGATAGAAGCAGGGAGAAGAGCTGTCCTCAGACCACATACTGGGGCCTCCTCTGGCTTGGCTCTGGGCAGCTACTAGGGGCAAAGTCTGGTTTGAGATGAGGACACAGGCTCTGCCCTCCAAGAGCCTTCCAGTCTAAACAGTTTGAAGGAAACTCCAAAGGATCAGTTGGGTATGCAGAAGAGGTGAGGAAGTCTAAGCTGTGCTGTATTTGCCTCTTCCACCAGCCCTGCCCTGGCTCAACGTGTCTGCAGATGGTGACAATGCGCGCCTGGTCCTGAATGTCTCCGAGGAGCAGCACTTCAGCCTCTTCCTGTACTGGAAGCAGGTCCAGGGTCCCCCAAAACCCTGGTGGCAAAAAAACCTGGTGAGGCCACCCCCTTCCCAAGTCCATTCCCACTATAGGCTGATGCCCATGCAACGGACGCACTGCCTTATCAAAGAGGACTCATACCAAGCAAGGGAACGCTGGTGGGGGAACTTCTGCCTTCCTGGTTTCCTTGACCTTGGCCTCCTACTCTTCCTCATCTTCTCCTACTTCCTTCCTTTTGCTTGTTCCACAGACTGGACCACAGATCATTACCTTGAACCACACAGACCTGGTTCCCTGCCTCTGTATTCAGGTAGGAGCAGAGTCCAGCTGGGCGATAGAAGAGGAATGGGAAGATGATGATGGGGGTGACCCCTGCCTTCCTGGTCTCACCATTCTTCAAACCCTTCATTGAGGTGGAGACTGTGGCTCCTTGGGGTGGCTGGTCCTCCCTTGACCCTTGCTGTCCTATGCCTTCTGTCTGTTACATTCCCAGAATCCTCTCCCTGATCTTCCACAGAACTCCTATTTAAACTTCAGGCCCCATTCAAATGTCATCTTCTCCTTGAGGCTTTTCCCTACTCCTCCAGTTCTGTCTTTGTGTTCCCCTGTGGGGCAGAGCATGTGCTATAAACAGAACAGATCCTCCCACCTTGGCCTCCCAAGTGCTGGGATTACAGGTGCTAGCTACCGTGCCCAGCCCTGTTTTCATTTTTTAATGTTTTGTGGAGATGGGCCACCACACCCAGCTCAATCACCTCCTTTCTTATTTGGGCATCTTCTTGTATACAATAGATGCTCAATAAATATTATGAAATGAGTGATTTACTAATTTACATACATATTTTATCCTTACTACAAGTGTGAGTTTGTGATTTCCTTAAAGGCAAGCAAAGAGCCGGGCGCGGTGGCTCAAGCCTGTAATCCCAGCACTTTGGGAGGCCGAGGCGGGTGGATCACGAGGTCAAGAGATCGAGACCATCCTGGTCAACATGGTGAAACCCCGTCTCTACTAAAAATACAAAAAATTAGCTGGGCATGGTGGTGCATGCCTGTAATCCCAGCTACTCAGGAGGCTGAGGCAGGAGAATTGCCTGAACCCAGGAGGCGGAGGTTGCGGTGAGCCGAGATCGCGCCATTGCACTCCAGCCTGGGTAACGAGCAAAACTCCGTCCCAAAAAAAAAAAAAAAAAAAAAAGGCAAGCAAAGTATATCTAATTCAAATGTAATAACTTTGCAAGAGCCTTGCACAGTGCCTGGCATATACTGCCTACTCATTGTTTTGTTTTGCTTTGTTTTTAAACAAGGTAACAGTATGAGGGTCCTCACTGTTGAATGGTGAATGAATGAATCTTACTGCCTAGCACAGCAATAGGACACAGCAGATGCTCATGAGATGTTTGCTGTGATTTAAATGTCCTCGTTGCCAAACACAATGGCTGCCACACAGTAGGTGTTTCTAATTAAAGGTTTGATGAATAAATTAATATATTATCTCTAGTGCTTAGCGCAGAGCTATGCACATAATAAAAACGTCTCTTAAAGGTCTGTTGAAAGAATGAATGAATGTGTCCTTAGAATCTAGCACATTCCCCGGCACATAGTAGGTGCTCACAAAGTGATTGTGGAATGAATTCAAATTAATTATCCACTGGGCATGGTGGTTCATGCCTGTAATCCCAGCACTTTGGGAGGCCAAGGGGGGCAGATCACGAGATCAGGAGTTCAAGACCAGCCTGGCCAAGATAGTGAAACCCTGTTTCTACTAAAAATATAAAAATCAGCCCAGCATGGTGGCTCGGGCCTGTAGTCCCAGCTACTCGGGAGGCTGAGGCAGGAGAATTGCTTGAACTCAGGAGGTAGAGGTTGTGATGAGCTGAGATCAGGCCACTGCACTCCAGCCTGGGCAACAGAGCAAGACTCCCTCTCAAAAAAAAAAAAAAAAATTATCCAAGGTCCCTTGTGCCTGTCATACTGGTAAGACACATGGTAGGCACTCATTAAAAGTTTGTTGAATTAAGACATTGCCAGTGTCTGCCATTATGTTTGCTGGAAGAAAGGATGTGAACATCTCCAGGTTTTGTAAAAGGCAAGAAGACCTGGTAAGTGCTTGCAAAATATCCGCTGAATGACTGTGTCCCCAGTATCTAGCAGAGGGCCGGGCACGTGCCCATGGAAAGGTGGCTAGGTGGAACTGACCTGAGCAGACCCCCGTTTCCTTTCCAGGTGTGGCCTCTGGAACTTGACTCCTTTAGGACTAACATCTGCCCCTTCAGGGAGGGTGAGCTGACTGGCCTGGGGCTGGGGTTGGGGCTGTGTGATCGATGGGTGCCTGGTGTGCAGTGACTGCGCCCTTTCCTTGCAGACCCACGTGCACACCGGAACCTCTGGCGTGCCGCCCGGCTGCGACTGCTGACTCTGCAGAGCTGGCGACTGGAGGCACTGTGCCCACTGCCCGCTGAAGCGGCACTGTGTTGGCAGGCTCCAGGTGGGGACCCTTGCCAGCCACTGGTCCCGCCGCTTTCCTGGGAGAATATCACTGTGAACGTAAGCGAAGCAGAGGGTGGGTCCCATGGTGAAGGGAGAGCAGGGAACTGGGGTCTCCCTTTTGTGATCTTACCCATTTCTCTCTTTCCACAGAAGGTTCTCGAGTTCCCATTGCTAGAAGGCCACCCTAACCTCTGTGTTCAGGTCAGAAAGGGGTGCACAGCATTAGGCTGGGGGCTGGACGTGGGCAGACCCCCAGCCAAAGGTGTCTTTGTTCTTGGGCTGTTAAAGCATAGTGGTTGCCAGCTTCCCCCTTGGGAGTTCCACTGTTTACTTTAGCAGTGTGTGGAACCCTGGGCAAGTCACTTCACCTCTCTAAACTTCAGTCTCCTCATCTGTTTAATGCAGATGATAATACAGTAACTGCCTCATCGAGTGGTTGTGATGATGAAATAAGAGAAGTGCTTCCCCTTAGGAACTGGTACAGACTAAATGCTCAATAAATTTAGCCACTTTTATTATTGCTATCAGTATGCTATTTCCATTTATGTAGAATGGGTTGCTCCACAATTTCAAAGGGTGATTATAAGAATATTCACTCATTCAAGATTTTTTGAACAGCATGAGTAACTGTTTTAGGCACTTGTGATAGATCCTAATGTCCCTACTGTCATAGAACTTATCTTGTAATGGAGAAAGGCAGCCAGTAGACATTGTAAATAAATTATATAATATCTTAAAATTGCATACAAATACTATGGAAAAGGGATAAGGGAGGATTGGGGTTGCAATTTTTAGCACGGTGGTCAGGTGAGAAGGAAATCTCTTTGAGAAGGTTAGATGAGAGAGGAACTATGCTTTATAAGACATGAAAAGAGCTTTAGGGTCAGAAGACCCTTTAGCACAGAGAAAGATGAAGTGACTCCTAATCACCCAGGCTTGAACCCATATCTGCCTAAGGTCAGGTCAAGTGTAGATTCCCAACCCAACAGGCCTCCTGTTGCCTGCACTGTTCTGGTCTTTCTGGCCTTGGCTTTTGCTTTTCTTAGTGGCCCTAACCATGGTCTCTTCCCAGCAGGTGAACAGCTGGGAGAATCTGCAGCTGCAAGAGTGCTTGTGGGCTGGTGAGTGGGGCCTGGGGTGGCTGAGGCAGGGCCACTTCCTAGGGGTGGTCACGGCATGGGAGGTGGGAAAGTGGCCAATCCCAGCAAGGTTGGGTCTTGGTCAGAGTGGCCCCTCACCCCTTCCAGACTCCCTGGGGCCTCTCAATGATGATGTGCTACTGTTGGAGACAAGAGGCCCCCAGAACAACAGATCCTTCTGTGCCTTGGAACCCAGTGGCTGTACTTCACTGCCCAGCAGAGCCTCCACGGTAAGGACTGAGTGACCCTCCTCCACAGATCTCTACAGATGTATCTCACACCTGGCCTTAAATTTTTACTCAATCCACCCTGTGCTTGTCTCTGGAAACATGGGGGTGACTCAAACCTGGGCCCTATTCAGTGGCATCATCAAAGTCTCCCAGTCACCTCTACCCCATTCTACCCAGCTGTAGCCTGGTAGGTGCTGCCCTAAGGGTGCTGCCTCCAGGTAACAGTGCCCCCATCCTTTGGCTTGGCAGATGGCAGCTCGCCTTGGAGAGTACTTACTACAAGACCTGCAGTCAGGCCAGTGTCTGCAGGTGAGCAGGTAGCAGAAGGGCCCTACCTCAGTGCCTAAGGGCCTCAGGCCTAAAACTAGCACTCATCTACTATCTGTTTAGGTTTATTTTATGTTCAGCCCTGGGAGAGTTAAGAGTAGAAGAAGCATAGTTCCTATCTCCAAGGAGCACACTGTTAGCTAGACACCCGTAAACAGATAACCATACCTATGGGTGCTAAGTTTTGGGTTCCAGGGAGAGCTTCTGGGAAGAATTTCTTCCTATAAGCCAGGTTTGGCATGGAAGAAGTCATAGCCTAGGCAGTGGGCACAGCATAAGCAAAGGCAGAGCAGCTGCAGGAACCGTAGGCGGGAGATATGCATAGTTGATGATGGGAATTTGGAGATCAGGCCACCAGAGCTTGGTGAATGCAGAACACCCAACTGGTGCCCTGGATTTGGTTCTGTTTGTATCTTATAGCTGTGGAATGATGACCTGGGAGCGCTATGGGCCTGCCCCATGGACAAATGTGAGTATTGTAAGAACTGCCTTTCCTTTCTGTACCAGGAGCAGGGATCTTGACAGGGACCACTCCTGGGTGCAGTACATGCAATGGCCTTGTCCTTCCCTGAGATCAGATAAACCAGAGGGTCATTCCTTCATTCACTCAAAAAATATGATGAGAGCTTGCAGGGATCCCAGGAGCACGGATAAATAAATAAATAAATAAATAAAATCTCTGTCCACAACCCTTAGCAGACTAGCAAGACATGAGCCAGTCACTTCATTTAAAGTGTGAGCTACTGAAGCACCACCAAGTGTTCAACGCTGTAAATGCATACAATGCAGACCTGACCTGGGAGGGGTAAGGGGCTCAGGGGGAAGGTTCCAGCAGGGAGTAGAGATGCATTTTTGTGAAGACTGTGGGGTACTTTTTTTTTTTTGAGACAGTCTCCCTTTGTCACCTGACTGGAGTGCAGTGGCACGATCTTGGCTAACTGCAATCTCTGCCTCAACTGTGGGGTACTTTTTTGAGAAACTCCAAGATGGCCAATGTGGCTAGAGGGTCTTGGACAATGTGGCAGGTTTCTGTCATGAGGTAAGGATGCAGGAGCCATGTTGGGAATTTGGATCTTACGTTAAGAGAAGCAGGAGCTATGATCAAATTTATATTTTTAAAAGATTTCTGAGGCTGCCATGTGGTGAATCAACTGGAGGCTAAAAATGACAGGGCTGGGACACCAGGCAGGAGGCTGTTGCAGACACCCAGGACAGCAAGATCAAGGACCCAGCAACCCTAGCTTAGGAGAGAATATGAGCTGACATTTTAGCACTTAAGATGCTCAGCATTGTGTTGTGCTTTATATGTATTAATATATTTAGTCTTCACACCAACCCTGTGACGTAGGTACAACGTTACAGAGGAGAAAACTGAGGCAGAGGGTGACGTTACTTATTCAAAGACCCCTAAACAAATGGCGCTATATTCATCCACTGGCTCTGACACTGTGCTGTGGATTTTGCACAAATCATTTCTCTTTTTTTTTTTTTTTTTTTTTTTGAGAAGGAGTCTCGCTCTGTAGCCCAGGCTGGAGTGCAATGGCACAATCTCGGCTCACTGCAACCTCCGCCTCCTGGGTTCAAGTAATTCTTCTGCCTCAGGCTCCAGAGTAGATGGGATTACAGGGGCACACCACCATGCCCAGCTCATTTTTTGTATCTTTAGTAGAGACAGGGTTTCACCATGTTGGCCAGGCTGGTCTCGAACTCCTGATCTTGTGATCCTCCCGCCTCGGCCTCCCAAAGTGATGGGATTACAGGCGTGAGCCACCACACCCCGCCGTCAATTCATTTCTCTTAAGTCTCAGTTTTTCTTCTCTGTGGAGGGTGAGTGTAAGTTTCTAATTCTTCTTCCCTGGGTCTCCCAGACTCCCACAAGCGCTGGGCCCTCGTGTGGCTGGCCTGCCTACTCTTTGCCGCTGCGCTTTCCCTCTTCCTCCTACTCAGAAAGGATCACGCGAAAGGTGAGCGCTTCCCGGCTCCCCATTCCCCAGGGGCAGGACCACAGTGGCTCTGGGAGTTCTCCGAGGGAAGGCGGCAGGCGAGCTCACCAGCTGCCTCTGCCCCTGTCCCTTAACAGGGTGGCTGAGGCTCTTGAAACAGGACGTCCGCAAGGGGGGTGAGTGGGTGCAAGCGCTGGGCGGGGGGCCGCCCCCGGGAGGGCCAGGCCTGTACCAGCTCACCTCTTCCCTCCCCGTCTCTTTTCAACGGCAGCAGCCGCCAGGGGCCGCGCGGCTCTGCTCCTCTACTCAGCCGATGACTCAAGCTTCGAACGCCTGGTGGGCGCCCTGGCGTCGGCGCTGTGCGAGCTGCCGCTGCGCGTGGCCGTAGACCTGTGGAGCCGTCGTGAACTCAGCGCACAGGGGCCCGTGGCCTGGTTCCATGCGCAGCGGCGCCAGACCCTGCAGGAGGGCGGCATGGTGGTCCTGCTTTTCTCGCCCGGGGCGGTGGCGCTGTGCAGCGAGTGGCTACAGGATGGAATGTCTGTGCCCGGGGCGAACTGCCCACACGACGCCTTCCGCGCCTCGCTCAGCTGCGTGCTGCCTGACTTCTTGCAGGGCCGGGCGTCCGGCCGCTACGTGGCGGCCTGCTTCGACAGGCTGCTCCGCCCGGACGCCGTGCCTGCCCTTTTCCGCACCGTGCCCGTCTTTTCACTGCCCTCCCAGCTACCGGACTTCTTGGGGGCCCTGCAGCGGCCCAGCGCCCTGCGTCCCCGGCGGCTCCGAGAGAGTGCGGAACAAGTGTCCCGGGCCCTTCAGCCAGCCCTGGAGAGCTACTTCCATCCTCCGGGAACGCCCGGGCAGGGACGCGGGGTGGGACCTGGGACAGGGGACGGGACTTGAATAAAGGTAGACGCTGTTTTTCTACCCATGTGGCCCACACGTGTCTCCGCGGCGGGTGTGGCAAACGGCGTTCCCTAGCCCCGCGGCCCTTTAAAGCCCGGACAGGTGCAGCTCGGTGCCGCCTCTGGTTGGCTGGCGTGGGGTGACGCAATGGCACATGGCCCACCACCATTGGCTGGGCGGCAAGCTCCGCCCCTTGGACTGCGGCGCGGGTGGGGGTTGTACGTTTTACGCAGGCTGTGGCAGCGACGCAGTGAGTAGACGGCCCACGGCACCCGCCGGCTGAGGCGAACGCTTCATCCTCCTCTGTGGCCTACGAGGGTCTGAATCTTTCCCTGCCGGCTCGTGGGCCGTGCCTTTGCCAGTCTGCGAGGCCCTGAACCTGACCCCTTCCCTTCCTAACCGGATCCGGGCTCCTCCCCCCAAGCCCGGGGTTCCGGACACCTCCCCCAAGACAACTCCTCTGGCCTCCTCTGCTTCATTACTTGGAATCTGATCTCTCCTCCCTAATTCTGAGGATCCGGCCCCTAGTAGCCTTTATCAGGCCCTCAAACAAGAGGCTGACTTTTGCCCCCTTGCCAAGGAGCGAGGCCACTTTCGTCTCCTCACCCCATGCTAATGGGAATAGCTTATCTCCCTTCTGGAATGGCCTATTATGCACCTTTCCCCGCCCATCCCCACAGCCCCTGCAGTACCCAGTCTGGCCTCTTTTGGTTGTAATAACGCAGATCTGGGCTCCCAGCGCCGCAGCACCTCAGAACAGACCCTTTTCTTTCTTACGTGGGGCCTGACTCCTTCAGTGAAGCCTCTCCACGCCCTCTATCTGCAGGTCACCAGCCTGGGTAAAGATGGCCTCACGGCCTCCGAAGGGCCTGGTCCCAGCTGTGTTCTGGGGCCTGAGCCTCTTCCTCAGCCTCCCAGGCCCCATCTGGCTCCAGCCCTCTCCACCTCCCCAGTCTTCTCTCCCGCCTCAGCCCCATCCGTGTCATACCTGCCGGGGACTGGTTGACAGCTTCAACAAGGTGGGTGCACCGGCAGCCTCATTGGAAGGGGACCCAGCTACTGTAACACAGCGATTTAGAGTGGGGAACCCTAGGATGCAAATCTGCATGGATTCAAGTTTCATGTTGGTCTCTTACTAGTTATATGGCCCTAGGCAGGTTGCCTTTCTGTGCCTCAGTTTCCTGATCAGTAGAACAGTGAGTGCTAGCATATGCCAGGCACTGTACTTAGCTATTACTAATTTTCTGTTTCCAGGGCCTGGAGAGAACCATCCGGGACAACTTTGGAGGTGGAAACACTGCCTGGGAGGAAGAGAAGTTGTCCAAATACAAAGACAGGTAAAGGGCTTTTTGGGGGAGGGGTGCATAGTCCCCTCCCCACCAAATCTCTTCTCTACTGGTGGAGGGCTAGGAATTCTTGGGGAGCACTTATTCATTCAACAAATATCACTGAACTTCTATAGTATAGCAGTAAACAAGGCAAGCAAAATCCCATCTTCCTGGAGCTCACATTCTAATAGAGAAAATAAGCAGTGAATATTAAGTCAGATGAAGAACAAACAGTGAAGCACAGTAGACTGCGGGATGGTAGGAGGCAAGGTGTTCAAAGTGTAGCATTTGAACAGAGAGACCTGAAGTGAAGAAGCAAGCTATGTGACAGGGAGAGAATTGGGCAGAGGATGAGGCTGAGCTTGGTGTGTTCAAGAAGCGGCTGGAGTGGAGTGAGCAAAGGGGAGAGTGGTAGAAGGTGAAGGCAGAGGTTCAGGCCTTGAAGGCTACAGAAAGGTGTTTAGATTCTTTTTCGAAGTGTAGTGGGAAGCTCTTGGAAGGTTATGAGCAGAAAAAATGATAACAGTCTTCTTTATACCTTTAAATATTACTCACAGTGCTATGTAGCAAACAGACTGTAGGGGGCAAGGAAGTACCAGTTTAGGAGGCAAGTGCATTGTCTAGGCATGAAGGCAACACAAGCTAGTGTAGCATCTAGTGGAGGACATGGTGAAGGGGTCACATTCTAGGTATATTTTGCAGAGAGAACAATAGGATCTGGTGATGGATTCATTATGGGGTATAGAGAAACAGAATAAAAGATGCTTACTAGATTTTGGGCCTGAGCAACTGGGTGAATAGTGCAGCAGATGTTTTCTAAGATGGTAATACAGGGGAAACTGAGATGGTTTGGGGAGGGGTGGGATGTGGTGTTCTTTGATCATATTGGCCTGAAGTGTCCATTAGACATCCAAGCAGACTCCATCCAAGTCTGGAATTCAGAAAAGAGTAGGAATTGGAAACAGAAATTTGAGAGTTGTCAGTATATAGTCAGTATGTAGAGAAAGCCATGGAAAGGGTATAGAAAGGCAAGCCCTGAGCCCTGAGTCCTGAGCCCTGCAGGACTCAAAGTTAATGGAAGAAGAGTCAGCAAAGACTCAGAGTTAGACCTGGTTGTTGGTTCTTACCATTTGTAACCTAGGGAAGGTCATTTAATCTCTCAGAGCCATAGTTTCTTCACCTATAAAATGGGGCTATTAATGCCTGATTTGCCTATTTCATAGGAGTGTAGAAAGGGTTAACAGGGATGTCCACTAAAAATAAAGGTTTTGTTATTAAGTAACAGTGGTCATTTTCTCTTTTCCTTCCATGGGCCTGAGTTTCCTTATTCAGGAATGAGGGGATTGGCCAAGATAACCCCAGTGCACTTCTGGCTTTACAATGGCTCCTGCATTGCTTGGTTTTTTAAATCACTTCCTATATGCCAGGCCCTGTGCCAGACCCTTCAAATACAGGATATAAAGCATCAAATATTTATATATATATATATTTAATTGTGGTAAAATATACATAAAAATTTCCCATCACCACTATCTAGTTCTAGAACATTTTCATTACCCCCTCCCAAAAAAATCCCATACCAATGACGTAGTCACTCCCCATTCTCCCCTTCCCCCGGCTCCTGACAGTCACTAATTTGTGTTAGTCAAGCAGAAATTAGGATTTGCTGATTTCATTAGAATCATACAATACGTGGCCTTTTGTGTCTTGCTTGTTTCACTTAGCATGTTTTCAAGGTTCACCCATACTGTAGCGTATATCAATACTTATTCCTTTTTATGGCTGGGTAATATTCTCGTTTGGCTGTACCACATTTTGTTTGTCCATGCATCAGTTGATGGACAGCTGCATTGTTTCTGCCTTTTGGCTGTTGTGAATAGTGCTGCTGTGAACATTTGTGTACAAGTTTTTGTTTGAACACCTGTTTTCCATTCTTTTGGGTCTGTATCCAGGAGTGGAATTGATGGGTCCTATGGTGATTCCATGCCTAACTTATTGAGGAACTGCTTTTCCACAGTGGTGATGCCATTTTTGCATCCCCACCTGCAGTGTGGGAGGATTCTAATTTCTCCACATCCCTGCCAACACTTGTTATAGGATGTATTTTTAACCATATCAATCCAGCAAGGGTATTATATTCCGTTGCTCAGATGCAGGGACTGATGTATCTTACAACAAACTTGCAGGGACGGTATTGTTGTCCCCATTTTACAGATGAGAAAGCAAAGAGGTTCAGAGAGATTAAGTGACTTGCCCAAGGTCCTACCACTAGATTTGAACCCAGGTCTGTCTGCTTCCCAGAACCATGATCCCTTCCATTATACCCCATGGCCTCTCCTTTGATATTGTTATAGCAAGACGAAGGGTGGAGAGAGACCTGATGAGGGTGGTGGGTGGGGTGGAGCTTGTTTCCCATCAGCCCTTCCCTGTCTGGTCAGTGAGACCCGCCTGGTAGAGGTGCTGGAGGGCGTGTGCAGCAAGTCGGACTTCGAGTGCCATCGCCTGCTGGAACTGAGTGAAGAGCTGGTGGAGAACTGGTGGTTTCACAAGTGAGTGGCAAGGGAGCCTTCCCTGGGAGTAGGTCACAGTTGGACCTGATGTTAAGGCCTTGGCTTGGCCAAGAAGTGGGGGGTGCATGCTGAGGGCCATGTCCTGGTTCTGCTCCTTCTAAACCCGGATCTGCTAAGGACTTGCAGGGGGATGCCACTTTGAGCCTCAGTTTACCCCTCTGCCAAATTGGGAAAGGGCATTGGTCAGATGGCCTTGTGGATCTTATGTCCAAGCTGGGTTGAATCACAGATTCAGAAGTGGGGGATTGGGAACAGCACTTGTGACACTATGTCAGCACCTCCTCCCCACCTCCCTCCACCCTGTCCCTGCCTCAGGCAGCAGGAGGCCCCGGACCTCTTCCAGTGGCTGTGCTCAGATTCCCTGAAGCTCTGCTGCCCCGCAGGCACCTTCGGGCCCTCCTGCCTCCGTGAGTTTTTAAGTTGCTCTTGGGGATGAGAGGGGACTGCTGAAGCCAGGGATCCATTGCTGGCCCTGTCCCTAGCTGGCCGTGTTAGCTCAGGCTACTCAGATAACTTTTCAGGACCTCGGTTCTTGCCCACCTCACTGGGCTGGGGAAATGGGCAAATCAGTGGGGAAAGGCTTGGAGAACGCACAGGGGCTAGACTAAGTCAGATGCAGTGTGGTTATCATCATGTATTAAAGAAATGATAGACCCCAGCCCCTTCATTTCCCATGCCAGATCAGACTAAGCTACCTTTCTAGGGAGGGGCGGGTGCTGCCCTGGAGTTCCCATGGTCACCATCCATCCTCACACACAGTCCTGGCGCAAGAGCTGAACTTACTACCAGCCTCTTTTAGAACAGTCTTTCCTGAAGCTGCAGATAAAGAGCTAGCTACAAAGATGGCAAATTCAGTCTTTATAAAAGAAAATATTTGCTGCAGTGGCTCATGCCTGTAAACCCAGCACTTTGGGAGGCTGAGGCAGGAGGATCACTTGAGGCCAGGAGTTTGAGAGACCAGCCTGGGTAACATAGCAAGACCCTGTCTCTTAAAAAAAAAAATAGTGGGGCATGGTGATGCAGCCATAGTCCCCCTAGGCTGAAGTGGGAGGATTGCTTGAGCCCAGGAGTTCGAGGCTGCAGTGAGCTATGATCACATCATTGCCTGGAAAACAGAGTGAGACCCT